AATGAAGAAGTGTTAATTAGAGTCAGTGAGCAGAGGAATATCCTACATGAAATAAGAAAACGGAAGGCTAATTGGATTGGTCATGTTTTACGCAGAAACTGCCTTCTAAAAGAAGCTATCGAAGGAAAGATAGATGGGCGGATAGAAGTGACAAGAAGACAAGGAAGAAGACGTAAGAAGATGCTGGATGACCTTGGGGACAGAAGAGGATACTGTCATTTGAAGGAGAAAGCTCTAATCGCATTAAGTGGAGGAATTGTTTTGAAAGAGACTGTGGACCTGTCGTCTTGACAGATTACTGATGATGATGATGATGATGATGCTACTTCTGTATGGTGAGCTGTTGGCACAGTATCCCATTACCAAACTAGAAGAACATGTCTTCAAATATACTCACAGCTATATTTGTATCTAAAGGCCTTCTCTTCCACATGCAACAGAAGGTCATACCATGCTACTATGACACGGGACCACTCAACATGGGATTCGGTGGTCTAATGCCAATTATGTAACCATCTTCATTACCAGTTCCTGTATTCCAGCTACTGTCTGAATGAGGCTGCATATTTCTCAGTTAGTGATATGTGTCATTATACCATCATTGGAAAGTTACTACATACCAGCTTGACCATACTTCCAGTATGCATACATAGGAAGGAAATTTAAACACACATAAAACTTTTCTTCCATAAGGTTGTCTACACAAGGTATGATGTATCCTGGGTCCTAGATCAAACAGGCTTTATATAATTTTACAGGGAATTTTCTGTGCAGTCCAGCCCTCTTATCAGCAACAGACAAATATACCCCCCCCCCAAAAAAACAGATGCTTAACTTAATTAGAAGTGTTTCAGTTTCACTACACTTTCAGTGAGCAATCAAGTTTCTCATAAAGAAGTTTAACTTTATTCATTCTGATCTCTCAACTAGTCATTACTATAGAATGATTTGACCACACTGTCCAGTGTGACTCAATGTGTGACTCATATGTATGTTTATATATATATATATATATATATATGATGTCTTTCATGTTTTGGTCAATTAATGACCATCTTCAGAAGAAAAATAACTACACATTAAGAAAACTACTATTACATAAATCATAGTACATCAAGTCCACAGTTGCCCAAAGTTTTATATATAAGATTTTAATTACGCTAAAATGTGGTGTGTTAAAATATTAATAAAATTCTTAATATTTAAAATCTTAAATTGCTAAGGTACGTGTCTTCGTGCCTCTTCTATCAAACAGAGATTGGGTAGACTGCTGCCCTTCGTGGTCTGAGCAGTTTCTTCTTCTTTATATAGTTGGTTAAGAGTCTGTATTTGTTATTGAGCTGCTTCCTTCGTTGTTTGTTGAGGCACTGAAAGGAATATATTATATGTGGCCTACTGTAGATGTATGTGCAGATTTTATATTTTGTACATAAAGGATTGTTATTGTGAAATGGATGTACAGTCGGATTTACACTGTATGCTCAATTATTTTATCATAGTGTTACCTTACATAGTGAGTGATACATTATATGTGGCCTATCATAGATGTATATGTATGTTTTATACTTTGTGATATCCAGTCTGATTTATATATCTTATTATTTTGTTATCTAGTATAAACGATGACAGATTCAATATCTATGTACATAGATCTCTGGAAGCCACATTAAATATAAATAAATAAATAAATATATCCTTACCCTTATTTCAACATGTAAATTCATCTACTGCCTCATAACCAAACTTTTAATAATGTACTTCATGTTCTAATATTTCTTACATATCTACTGTTATTATACTACGTTCAACGTCATTTCAGGTTCTCTCTCTCTCTGTTCATTTCTATCTCCATACTGCATTCTAAGTGATTACAGTTTGATACGTAAAGTCCGTAACATAACCTTACCTTCTTAACATAACCTATATTTCGACAACTCAAACAGTTAACCAGCGTTTTCCACACACTGTTCTTTCATATGGAAATGGAACACTGTTACAACTGGAATGACAATAAGGCATTAGCCGTACAGTTTCAAATTGGAAACAAATAATAACCGTTTCTTACTTAAGCCACATTCAGGGAGACAACTAGAACTAAAAACGAACAATAGTGGTACCAATCTGAAACTATCTCATTAAAGTACCAGCGAATTATAAATGTATTTACTTAGCGAGAGTCTGTGTTTCCAACACTGCATCTCTCGTAATCCTATTTAATTCCGATTCGGTCACATATTAATACTTTCAGGATAAGTCGGTTACAGCAACAATAAAAGACAAAGTTGGTATTAGGCTTTATCTATATAAATAAAATTTCGCTCTTACCTTTTGGCTTCGTCAGTTACTTTCTTGCGTCCAAGGTAAATACGAGTTATACAAACCTCAAAAACTAATTTCACTCAGTGTAATGCACCCTGACGCTTCACAGGAATGAGCATTATAACACTTCGTTAAATTTCTGGATGTTAACTCCACAATTTAATGCCAAATTTTCTACGCTAGTCCTCATAGTTATATCCACATCAGTCAAGTTTTATTCAATCCGAAACTCGACAAGTTAAAATCGGTTTAAAATTCGATATGTTGGCAATTTTGGTTTCCAATTTCAGGATGCAAGCTTCCACGTGGCAGGCTAATTGTGAACGGGAAGTACCGTAATTATTAGTTCCGCCTCAAAAGCATTTTTAGACCCGAAGATATATTTCGGACATCATACTTCCTTTCGACATCAGTCTGTGCAGCCTCCTACTTGCATAACAATGGTTTCGTATCCTTGTTAGGCGGTAGCTCTTTATTATCGGCACTCAAAATCACCTAATCGAGCCTAAGCTAAGAACCTATGTGTGCAGAACGGATTATGCAAATAGAAACTACTGTTGTCTGCTTTTTATTTTACACTGTGACAATATGTATACCGATAAGTCGGTATACAAACATAACTCTTACATTTTCGAACGGTTTCATAACCTCACATTTCAATATACTGGATGGTATACAAAATTGTTTTACTTACGTGTGACTTTTGACAGTGGACATAATCGTGTGTTATAAAAATAGTTCGGAAACTCAGTAAGTATCACATTCTGAAGAAGGGCTTTTCTTCCTTTAGTTACTTATGAGCTCCACAACAAAGCATCGTGAACTGAGCCATGAGAGGGCGTCATATGCCACCATACGCGCGCCTCTTGTTCATTGAGGTTTCCAGACTTATAACTTCATGTATCTCCAAGCAAACCGTAACGCCTCGTCTATTCTCTACTACCCGACCCTTTTCTACAAATATAACATGCATAAAACGGAGGCTCTAAAGCATGAACAGAAGAGTCCTAACGTCAGTCAGAGCTTAGAAGCGGCGAAGACTGGACGTGTATGGAGAACCAGGCTTAAAGCAGAGCGTGCTGTGAATCCCACGTTTAATGCAAGGTGCAAGAAGGAAACAGTACAATGACGGCAGAGTGAAATAGTAGTGGGCATGAAAAGCATGTTGGCAACAAGAACTTAAATGGCAGCTAGTAATGATACACGACTACTAAATCACGATAGACACGCAATCTATTACGTTTCTGAATGTTTGCCTGTGCGCACGCGCATTCGCAGAGGCAGAATTAGTAATTTATAGAGATTCTTTACGAATTCAAGAAAATGGCCATGTGGCGTTCACGTCTGTTTGAGAGCTAGTTTTAGTGCTAACACTGTTGAACAGATTGTTTTTCTTTGAGTTTGAATTGAAGATTATTGCTTAAAGTTTTCGAGCATTTTTCACCTTCAGCCATATTGACCGTGTGGTCCATATAACCACAAATGAACTTCTCCATTTACCCCACAAACCGTTTTAAATATTTTGTTTAAATTCGACATGGAAGGCTCATCAAAGTATATCGTGTATTTCCGATGTTCTTCCATATTATTCCATAATACAGCCAAGTTTACATAAGGCCATAAATTAATTTTTCCATGTATCCCATAGACCAATTCACAGGGTTTTATTTAAATTTGTCTCGGGAGGCTTCCATCAAACGTTATTGGGTATTTCCGATTTTCAGCCATAGTGGCCCATAATAAAGCCTAGTTTATATAAAATCATATGAATTTCCAATTATCTCATAAACTGTTACACAGATTTTGTTGAAATTTGATATTGGATATTTTTACTAACTTGAATATGTGTCCCCATGCAGTAGCATCTACCACAACAGGAAATTCAGAGAACAGGTCTGTGGGAACATCCCACATACTAACACGCAGTTTCGCCGGTCTAACAGACAGCACTCACTCTTAGTCAATATCACATTGCCGTACATTGTTGCCACTACACGTATTTATACAGCACTCGATGTGCAGTCCACCATTAAATCATCACGTGCGCTAGCCAATCAGCGCTCACAATCGCAACTACAAGTTTAACCTCCGCCTAGCAAGCATGGTATAAAAGCGGAGCCCAAAGCTCGCAATCATCAGGGTCAGTGATCAGTCGAGTAAGAACGGAGTGAGTGAAACAGGAGTTAGGATTGAGAACAAATTTTGTGGTGTAGAGTCAGTGATTGAGAGGAGTGAGATTCGAGAGTTAGGACTGGAGTTAGATTAAGGTATTTCAGTCTTAGTGCCCACTCAGTGCGAGGTACGATGGCGTTCCGTGCTGGCTTCCTTTGACAAGCAACATGAAAAGTTACTAGCCAACAATCCCGATGCAACGGAGGAGATCAACTTAATTCGGATGGCGCTCCTGAAAATAGGACAGCTCATCCAGTCTTCTCCGCAGGAAAATGGCAACGGAGATACCTGGAAACGCCTGCTAGAAAAAGCAGAGTCTGAGAAGACTATATTATGTAAACATCTGGACGGGAAGGCCCTGTTCACTGGAATGCTGCGACTCTACGCAGCAATACACAGGGAACTGATGGAGTCTGTCCTGCCGGAAACCACGCAAGACACAGAGGATGCGCCCCACAGCAGACGTCGAAAGAGAAACAGCGACTCTGACGACGGCAGCAGCAGCACCAAGAAGGAGGCAAAGGGAAGATCTAGACCACTCCCGGTCAACCAAAAGCCGCGGCCTGTAGCAACAAAGAATTTCTCTGTCCCGCTCAGGTCCATACCCGTGGACGGAACAGAAAGTGGTGAAGGGCCATCTACAGAAGACACTGGCAAAGGCAGACCACCACCTATAATCCTAACTTCTGAAGCTAACATCCTTAGCCTTCAGAAAGAAATGAAAGCTGTTGTGACAGGGGAATTCCTCTTCCGGAACAACGCATCCGGTACCCGAATCACAACCAAAAATATGGCAGATTATAAAGCAACACAAAACCTACTGAGTCAAAAAGGTCTCCCATTCTTTACCTTTTACACCAAAGGAGACAAACCTGTGAAAGCTGTTATCAGGCATCTGCCGAGTAACACCTCGTCAGAAGACCTCACAGTGGCCCTCCAGGAGCTGGGCTACGAAGCCATCAGCGTCAAGCAGATAACGGCGAAACGTCCTCCGACAGGAGGAGACACACTCGTATCCCTTCCCCTTTTCCTTGTCACCCTGGCGAGAAACCACAAATCCCAGGAAATCTTCAAAATCACCAAACTCTCAACATAATTGCCAAAGTAGAGGCTTACAAATAAAAAAAATGGTCTGACCCAGTGCTACAACTGCCAGCGTTTTGGCCACATTTGGGTCCACTGCAGGCAGCCTCCTCAATGCCTATGTTGTGGGGGTGGTCACCGCTACCGTGAATGCCCGGAAAAGGAGAATACCGAGAGCACCCAAAGATGCTGCAACTGTGAGCTGAAAGATGGGGAAACACCACATCCAACCAACTACAGGGGCTGCAGTCATGCGAAGGAGGAGCTGCGGCGAAGGAAGAACCAACGCTTGACAAATCAAGGGTCTTCAGGAAGAACGTTCTTCTCCAAATATGCAGCATCCGAGCGGACGTTCGCCTCTGTTCTACACAGCTCGGTGGAAGCGAAGCAACCCTCAGCGCAGCAGAAGGCGCCTAATAGTCCCCAGAATCAACAAATCAACATCAAAGGTTCAGGTCAGTCAGTGCAGGAAAAAAATGTAAATAGTAATGCAACGGACGATATGTTCGTTGCTTTCACTATGGTGTAGCAGATTATGACAGGGCTCTCAGGTGCTGCATCCGAAGAGGAAAAAGTTGCAGTTATCACCAAGGCTGTTTTTAGTCCACTGAATCGCAGTGGTAGTAACAGTTCATAGGCCTCTCAAAATTGCAGCGTTCAATGCCAACGGCATTGGAAGACTGGCCTTTGAGCTACGAAAACAGATGCAAGACCTAAAAATAGATGTGGCCCTTTTCTCGGAGACATCTGAAACCACATATGAGGTTCTATATTCCAAATTATCATATTGTGACATGTTGAGAACGGAGAACCCCCCCACCAGCAGTGACGTGGCGGGTGAGTCAGCGCTCCGTCATCCCCCCTCCGCACGGTAACGTAACGCGCAACGCGCGGTGACGTAAGACGGCATGAGGTAACAGCGTTGCTACGTAACAGGCACACACAGCCACTATATAAGAGAGCTGCGCTGCCTGCGAGTGAGTTGTAATGTGGCCGGCGGCGAGTTCAGTAGTAGTCGAGCGAGTGTGTTATCAACAGTTCTCAAGGCAGCAGCCTGCGAGTAGAGTTGGAATCTAGCCAGCGGCGAGTTACGAGTAAAAGTGTGATAATCAGTGACAGTCTGTGATAACTGAGAATTAATTGGGAGTGTGTAACACAGTGACACTTGTATAGCTCCCGTACTGTGAAACGTGTAGTCTACTGACAATAGCGTGATTTGATTTGCGATTAGGGTTATAAAGTGTGAAACCCCGCAATATTGTTATAATTAATTATAGCCGTGATTTGTAGGTTGTTAAATAAACCAATTAACAATCCGAACGGCGTCTTCAGTAACGAAACACGTGACAATATATATATATCGGAATGATCGCCAGGACGGGCATAAGGGCGGAACTGCCGTTGCAGTCAAAAATGGAATCCCACATACTCATGTTGACCTACCTCCCCTCCTTTCATTAGAAGCAACGGGGGTTTGCATACCGATTGGTCATACTGAAATGCTGCTTGCATCTGTTTATAAATCTCCACTTAGAGCGTGGAGAGACGCAGACATCACAGAGCTCTTAAACTTCAGAACAAAATCCATTTTGGCAGGTGATCTGAACGCAAAGCACCCTGTTTGGAATAGTAACGTCGCAAACCCTTCAGGTTTGAAGCTTTTAGGTCTATTTGTTAATTGTAATTTTGAACATTCGGCGCCACAATATCCTACCCACTTCGTTCCTGATGGGAGAGGTGATGTCCTGGACATTGTGGTCCATATAGATGTTCGGTTCTCAGAAGTCAGAGTTCTGGACATCATGGATTCAGATCACCTACCCACAATGTTTTGCATCTTGGATCATGTTAAAGCCAGAGAAATCTTGGATCCAGTTGAAAAAATCACAGATTTGGAGCGGTTTCAAAGCCTCGCTTCTGCCCTAGTATCCCCAAGAATCAAAATTAATTCATGTATTGAAGCTGACAAAGCAGCTCGCGACTTTGCAGCCTCTATGGCATCAGCATATATGCTGTCGACAGAAACAACCACAACCTCATTTCGTAATCGCG